AAACATTTTCAGGATCAGGTCAGCTCACTGAACATAGAAGAATTCACAGAGGAGAAAGACCTTTTGAATGTCAGGAATGTGGGAAAACATTTACCCAGTCACATGACCTCTCTGAACATAGAAGAGTTCACACAGGAGTGAGACATTACGAATGTCAGGATTGTGGGAAAACATTTTCACATTCACGTACCCTCGTAGTACATAGAAGAGTCCACACAGGAGAGAGACCTTATGAGTGTCAGGACTGTGGGAAAACATTTTCTCGATTAGGTACACTCACAGTACATAGAAGAGTCCACACAGGAGAGAGACGTTACAAATGTCAGGACTGTGGGCAGACATTTTCACAATCAAGTCGGCTCACTAAACATAGAAGAGTCCACACAGGAGAGAGACCTTACAAATGTCAGGACTGTGGGAAAAAATTTTCACAATCAAGTCGGCTCAAGTTACATAGAAGAATTCACACAGAAGAGAGACATTATGAATGTCAGGACTGTGGGAAAGCTTTTTCAGATTCAGGTGTGTTCAGGGTACATAGAAGAGTCCACACAGGAGAGACACCTTACAAATGTCAGGACTGTGGGAAAACATTTTCTCGATCAGGTACACTCACTCTACATAGAAGACTCGACACTGGAGAGACCATACGAATGTCAGGAATGTGGGAAAGCTTTTTCAGGTTCAAGTGTCCTCACTGTACATAGAAGAGTCCACACAGGAGAGAGACCTTTCGAATGTCAGGAATGTGGGAAAGCTTTTTCAAATGCAGGTGCCCTCACTGTACATAGAAGAGTCCACACAGGAGAGAGACCTTATGAATGTCAGGACTGTGGGAAAACATTTTCACAATCAAGTCATTTTATGGTACATAAAAGAATTCACACTGGAGAGAGACCTTACCAGTGTCAGGACTGTGGGAAAACATTTTCTCTATTAGGTACACTCACAGTACATAGAAGAGTCCACACAGGAGAGAGACCTTTCGAATGTCAGGAATGTGGGAAAGCTTTTTCACATTCAGGTGCCCTCACTGTACATAAAAGAGGCCACACAGGAGAGAGACCTATCAAATGTCAGGACTGTGGGAAAACATTTTCAAAATCAGGTCACTTTATTGTACATAAAAGAATTCACACTGGAGAGAGACCTTACCAGTGTCAGGACTGTGGGAAAACATTTTCAGTGTCAAGTCACCTCACATCACATCGAAGAATTCACACTGGAGAGAGACCTTACGAGTGTCAGGACTGTGGGAAAACATTTTCTCGATCAGATAAACTCACTCCACATAGAAGACTCCACACTGGAGAGAGACACTTTGAATGAAACGAATGTGGGAAAACCTTTGCTCATTAGCTCACCTCACTCAACATAGAAGAATTCACAGAGGAGGGAGACCTTTGGAATGTCAGGAATGTGGGA